GCTGCTGGCCCTGGCTCAGCGCCTCGAAGGGGAAGCGCTGGTGGCACTTGGTGCAGGCGTAGAGCGCCGCCATCCCGCCGCCGCGCTGACAGGCGCAGCCCGCCCCGCCCCGCCGCTCGCCCCGCCCCGCGCGGGCCTCTCCGCCCCGCCATTGGCCGCGCCGCACATCACTCTCGAGGAGGCCGCCTCTCATTGGTTTCTGCGGCCGTCACTCCAGGCAGCGTGTGGGGGTTGCACCGCCTTCCTCTCCCCCTCCCAGCGGCGTCGCGGGCGGGGTGGGGGGAGCGCTGACGTCACGCGGGGAGCGCTGCGCGCTCCGCGGTGACGCAACCTCTCCCCCCACCCGCCGCCGCCCACAAGGCCTTGCGGGAGGGGAGCCGGAAGTGGCGAGGGGCGGGAAGTCGTGAGGGGAGGGAAAATGGCGGAGGGGGCAGCGGGGCCGTGAGGAGGAGCCGAGGGGCGGGGGGGCAGGAACCGGGGCACGGGCCGCAGCACGGGCCTCCCGAGCGGCGAGCGAGGGCGCTGCGGTTGCTGCGCCTGGAGGAGGCCCAGGGCGGGCCGCGCTGCGCTCCACAGCTACCCGAAGGGGCGGTTGGGTTGGCCTCGTCTGCACCATAACGAGCAATAGGCTCAGGGGAAACGGCCTCAGGTTGTGCTGGGGAGGCTTGGGTTGGGTGTTAAGAGAAAATACACAGAGGCAGTATCCAGGGGAAGCGGTGCGGCACTTCCAGGCCGAGCTCAAGAAACGCGTAGGTGGGGCGCGTAGGGACACGGCTCCTGGAACGCCACGGAGTCGTTACGCTTGGGCTGAACCACCTTGAAGGGTTTTCCAACCATAGGGATTCAGCGAGCCCCAGCAAACCCACGCGGGAGAGCGAGGTGGAGACGAGGCCGTGCCCGAAGCCGAGGGAAGAGCTTGGCCCGGCCCTGTGGGCCTGGCGCTGCCGGCGGCCGCTGCCCACCCACTGGCCCTGAGCGTGGCCGGCGGCGGCACGGGCCGTGGGCAGCGCTGCTCTCATCCACATCGCGTTGCGGAGCATTTGCCCACGTTTCACCTTGCGGATCACATTGGCTCCCTGTCGAGTCCAGCACAGAACAGCCCAAACACGCAATATTTTTTCTTTCCTGGCTCGTTTTCCTTCAATCACAACATTGTCCGTTCCATGAGGCGACTCCAGGTGCCCCACATTTCCCATAGAACAAATAGGGGTTTGGAAGTGTTCTGGGGTCGCAAGCTCCCACTGTGCTCCAGGATGGAGCCCAGCCAGGTAAAACGGACACTTCCCAACCGGGTAAAACGGACACTTCCCAACCGGGTAAAACGGACACTTCCAGCAGCAGCAGCCCCCGCAGCTGCTTTCCACCTTGCCCACCCACCAACGCTCCCCTCTCGTGTCTCCAGGGTCACCACGACTTCTTGGGAAACTAATTTCCCTACCTTTCCTTACTCCAGGTCACGGAGCATTCCCAGTGAAGCCGGAGGGAGCCGCTCGCTGCAGTGCCCGCTGCTTCCTGAGGAGGCCCGGGGGAGCGTCCTGGCTCCGCCGCGTGGGTGTGCATATTAAACCGGAATTCTGCTCCGCTCGGCTACCTTGGGGACTGGTTATCATCACTGGGCAAATACACCGTGTGGAGGAGAAATACTTAATGTCGTGAAATGGGTTGCGTCGGGCTGGCTGCTGCCTTTGGAGGGGGAAACGGCAGGGAAAGCGGGAGGCAGAGCCGGGCTCGGCAGAGGGTGGCGTTAAACAACCCCCTCCTCGCTGCTCGGCGGCCGCGACGCTCCAGGGGGGTTTCTTGGGGAGAAGGGATGGAGGCGGAAGGCTGGAGCCGTCCGGTGTTCCCGGCTCTGCCCGTGCACCTGGAAAACGTGGACGCCACAAGGTGTTTGTGCCGTGAAATAAAACCTCCCCAAAGCCACGGGCTCTGCGGAGCTCTCGAGCGGAGGAAAAGGAACGATTCGCTTCAGAACGTGAACAGCGAACCTGCCAGAGCCGTCAGAGGTGCCAAGGGAAAAGCATTTGGCTAAGGAGAAACGTTTGTAAAGCTGCTACTGAGGGAAGCGAAATAAGAACCGTTAGGAAAGCCGCTGCCTCGGTGATTTTCCAAGGCAGCCTCGCTAGCGGCAGAGCGGCTTCCAGCTCCCTGTCGTGCAGGGCTCGGGATCGTTCTGGTCGTCCTGGATGCAGCCGTTTGAACCCAGAAAGCTCCGGACGCTGCGTTAAGCGGCCAAAGGGAGGATTCCTGCCTGCTGGGTGGCTGGTTTCGTCCTCCTGGAAGTCGAGGGCTCTGCGCTGTGTGCCCGCCGCCCCCGTGGTTCCGACCCGGCTCCGGAGCGGGCGGATCCGCCGCGCCGGCTCCCCGGGCGCTGCTGGAGTGCGAGCTCCGGCCCCGGGGAACCGACGTGCCTGGGGCTTTGGGGAGCCCCGAGGCTGCCAAACCCAGCTCGATTCAGCTGCTGTTCTCTGGCACTGCCTGTGGCTCTCAGTAAATCACTAACAGATAATATTTCCATATTCTGGCTCTGTTCGCGTCCTCTGCTTGCTGAATAATTACCTTGTTTTGCGCGAGCCGTAAGAGGTTCTCGCAGCTCGTTTATCCAGCGCTGACAGGGCGCCAGCCCCGGGGCGGGAGCACAGTTAGTGGCCACCTGGCACCGCCGCGGGCTCCGGCTGCCTCCGCAGGCGAGCGCGGCATGTGGGACAGAGCCCAGGGCAGGGAGCAGCCCAAGCCCGGCCTTTCCCAGGGAATAACCTCCTTGGAGCTGCCTTGGCGAGCGCGGCACGCCCTGGGTTTTGGGATGCGTGGTGAGCTTGAGCCTCCCCCCGCGCTGCTCCTTTCCAGCTGCGGATGCTCCCAAAGCAAGCAAACAACACGGCTCGGAGGAGCCGAGCGCCGCTCGCGGCCGCAGAGCCCGGCGGGCGGCCCTGCGCCGGCGCTCGGCCTCGGAACGGGCTCTGCCGCGCGGAGCCCGGCGGCGTCCCAAGGTTCCCAGGCCTCTTATGACATCCCGCGGGGCTGGGCGCTCCGGAGGCGCCGGGGAGCGGGGCGGGCGGCCCGGCCGGGGCAGGGGAGCCGGGCAGGGGGGAGCGGGGGTCCCCGCGCCAGGGGCAGCGGCCATGGCGGCGCTGAGCCGCCCGGCCATCGGCATCGACCTGGGCACCACCAAGTCCTGCGTGGGGCTCTTCCAGGACGGCCGCGTGGAGATCCTGAGCGACGCGCAGGGCCTGCGCAGCACGCCGAGCTGCGTGGCCTTCACCGAGGCGGGCCGGCTGCTGGGCCACCAAGCCGAGAGCCAGGCGGCCCTCAACGCGCCCAACACGGTGTTCGGCGCCAAGCGGCTGCTGGGCGCCGCGGCGGAGGCGCCGCCGGACGCGCGCCGCTGGCCCTTCCTCGTGCTGGAGGCCGAGGGCGGCCCGCGGCTCCGCGTGTCCTACAAGGGAGCCCAGAAGTCCTTCTTCCCCGAGGAGATCTCGGCCATGATCCTGGGGCACCTCAAGGAGGTGGCCGAGGAGCGCCTGGGCCGAGCCGTCACGCACGCCGTCGTCACCGTGCCCGCTCACTTCAACGACTCGCAGCGCCAGGCCACGAGAGACGCCGGCCTCATTGCCGGCATCAACGTGCTGAGGATCCTCAACGAGACGACGGCGGCGGCGCTGGCCTACAGCCTCCATCACCCCGACGGCCGCGAGCGCAACGTGCTCGTCTTCGATATGGGCGGGGGGTCCCTCAGCGCCTCCGTCTTCTCTATAGACAGGGGCGTTGTTGAGGTGAAAGCCACAGCCGGGGACAGTCACCTGGGAGGCGACGACTTCGACGACTGCTTGGTGAGCTTCTTCATGGAGGAGTTCCTGAAGAAGCACCGGGAGAACATCAGCCACGACCGGCGCGCCGTTTGGCGGCTCCGGGCGGCCTGCGAGGCGGCCAAACGGGCGCTCTCCTCCAGCCAGAAAGCCACCGTCAGCGTGGACTGCCTCTACAAGGGCATCGACTTGCAGGCGGACATCACGCGGGCCCAGTTTGAGCAGCTGTGCGCCAAGCTCTTCCAGAGGGTGCTGAGGCCGGTGGAGAGGGTCCTGCGGGACGCGCGGCTGAGCCCGAGCCAGGTAGGCGACGTGGTGGTGGTGGGCGCCTCCACGCGCATGCCCAGGATCCGGCAGCTGCTGCAGGACTTCTTCGGCGGCCGCCCGCTCAACCAGTGCCTCAACGCGGATGAAGCGGTGGCCAGCGGGGCGGCCGTGCAGGCTGCCATCCTCCTGGAGGACGGCTCGGACGCGGCCAGGAACCTGCTGGCCCTCGACGTGGCCTCTGCGTCCATGGGAGTGGAAGCGAGCACGGGCAAGATGCACGGGCTGGTCAAGCGCAACACCGCCATCCCCACCGTGGCCACGCGCACCTTCACCACGCTGCACGACCACCAGCCCGACCTCCTCATCCGCGCCTACGAGGGCGAGAGAAGCGTCGCCCGAGAAAACCACCTCCTCGGCCGCTTCCTCTTGAGGGGCTTCTCGCCCGCGCCGCGCGGCATGAGCTTGCTGGAGGTGACGTTCTACGTGGACGCCGACGGCATCCTGAGCGTCTTCGCTCTGGACAAGGTCACGGGCAGCGCAAACCCCATCGTGGTGGACGCCAGGAAGGGGAGGCTGAGCAAGGAGCAGATCGCGAGGCTAGCGGAGGAGCACGAGCGGTACCGAGCGGAGGACAGGGCGCGCAAATGGAAGCTGGCCACCAAGAACTACCTGCAGTCCTGCGCGTTCAGCGTGAGGAGGACCTCGGGGGACATCCTGAGCTACTTCACGCTGCAGGCCAAGAAGAAGGTGGTGGAGAGGTGCCAGCAGGCCTTCTCCTGGCTGAGCCCCGCCACGTGGCTGAGGAGGAGGAGGGCGAGAGCTGTGAAGAAGGCCTCCAGGAACCACACGCGAGGATTTAAGTCCCTCGATAACAACACAACAGGGATCAACAAGAAGAGAGCAAAGCTGATCATCACCACCTATAGCTGGAGCTTGCAGCTCACCCAGACCACGACCATCATCGACCCCTAGGGTGCCCTGGCAGGGACCCGGCCAGGCCCACTGGCTGCCCAAGCCCCACGTCACCATCTGAAGCAGCCCGTTGGAAGAGGGGACCCCTGCCAAAGCCACCACCCCCCTCAATAAATCTCCCCTCAACCTTGAGCAGCCTTGAGCGGATCTATTTGTGAGCATCAGGCGCTTTATTTGGGCTGGGCTTCTCAAGAGGGCTTAAGTGTCAGATCCCCGTTAATTTTGCAGCACTCCCCGCTGAAGGCAGCAGCCCTAGTTCACATTTCAGTGCCTGGGTGCTGGTTTTGGGGACTCTCCTGCCCACCTGTCAGGCTGCAGATGCAGGGGACTGTGCTCCTGCTCCAAAGGAAGGCTTCGTTTGTACTGTCAGCCCTCCGAGCTTGAGGCGAGGAGCAGGGATGTGGGGTGGCTGGAGCGGTGCTGGGGTTTGGGACCAGGATGGATCCGGGTGTTTCCAGCTCACCCGGAGCTGGAGGCCCCTTCCCAGCTATGTCTTTTATTCACCCTCTTTTCCAGCAGGATCAATCCCTCTTTTCTGTAAAGACCCCAGCTATTCCTACCTAGTCACACTCAGGCCTGCCACCACCACCACAAATGCAAAGCTTTAGGCTAGGGAGGGTGCAAACACCTGCCCTGGGCGCTCAATAGCAAACGCGCACAGCGAAGAGGAGCCTCAAAGCCACGGCTCCCTGCAAGTGCAAGCGGGTTTTATTGCCTGTGGGAGAGAGCAGGAAGAGTTACGAGCTGCCGCCCGACGCAGGGCTGGTGGGGTCCCCGGGGAGGCAGCGCGCCCGCCCGGCTGATGCCACCCCGCTCCACGTCCTCAAGGACATCCCGCTCGCTCGGGGACACGCGCACAAACACACTCCCTGCTCCGGCTGCTCCCGGCTCGTTACATGGAGAATTTTCCCAGCCAGGCTAATAAACGGGGAGCAGCCCTAGCACGGGGGCACGAGCTGAACGTGGCCTGGGTTGCCCACAGCCCCGGAGAGGCATTTCCAGCTCTCCTCAACCATTCCCAAGCTTCCACGGCACCAGCATGGGGGTGAAGGGCACTAACATTCCCACAGTCCAGCCTCCGACACCCCCGGAGCCGGGGATGCAGCCCCGGAGCGGCTGGGCAGGGCTGCGGCTCCAGCTCCTTTGTCTGCTCCTTGCCTCCCGCATCTGCTTCCCACGCGCTCCGGCGCAGCCTCCGGGGACGGCGGCAAACCCGTCGCTGCCGGCAGCGGCCCCAGCTCGAGTGGGACAGCTCCAGCCCCCAGCGGGATGAGGCTCCTGCGCATCCAGCGCTGCTCCGGGGTGCCCTGGGGCTGCTTCCCGGCGGGAGAGCTTCCCAGCGCCTGCCGTGCCGGCTTCGTGCAGCACCGAGCCCCCTCCGCCCGCCTGCACAGACACCCTGCTCTGCAACCTGCATCTCCGTGACACAGGGACCACATCCATCCATGCATGCATGCTGCTCCGGGCGCCCTTCACGCACGCCCAGGAGGATCGAGCTACCCCAAAAACACCAAGCCCAGGCTCAGCTCATCCGGGAGGCAGCTCCCTGGTAGCCCTTCCTCGGTAGCCCTTCCTCATTACGCACTCATGCTGGGGGCCTGGCCCCAGCTCGCCCCTCTTGTAGCTCCGCTCTGGGGCTGTCCCGCCGCTGTGGGGGCGGGAGGGCCTGGCGAGGCCAACGGCTTCCAGGTGGGAGCAGCCGGAGCAGCTCCATCCCCGCAGGTGGGACGGAGCCGGAGCGGGCGGAGAGGGGGCTGACGTGGCCAAACTCCCCTTTGGGCCCTGCCGCCCCCGGAGCCCCGGGCACCTCGCGCCTTCATCGCGCCGCAGAGCCCGAGCGGAGCTGCGCGGAGCCCTTGCGTTTTGCGCACTGGGCTGTACAGCTCTGGCTGCCGAGGAGGGCCCCGGGGGCAGCAAATCCCACGGAGCGGGGCGGGAAGGCTGCAGCCCCTCGGAGCGGTGCCCTCCGAGGCCGCGGGTCCGTGCGGCTCTGCCTGCAGCGAGCCGGGCGGCAGCGGCGCCCCTCGCACTGCTCGGCCTTCCCGCCCGGACGAGCCACCTGCCTCGAACCCGGAGCACTACCCGAATCCTGCACCTCTGCATTGCGTGGAGAGGGCACTGGTTTGGTCACCCGGCACTCACGCCTGCCCCCCAGCACCAGCCACCCCAGGGGCTGCAGACCCCCCAGCACGAGAGACCGCTCTGGGCGATTGCTCTGGGCGTTTATTGCCAGCAGGGTCCAAGAGGCACCCCAGGGTGCCCCCTGCCCCAGCACCCCGTCCTGGGCTCGAGCAGGGGGCTGCGCCGCTCAGGCCAGGATGGGGAAGGAGGCGGCCGTGGCCACGCCGCAGTTGTTGTCCTTCATGGCCATGAGGATGTAGCCGTCGTTGCCCCAGTACGTGGACCAGGAGTTCTTGACGAGCCAGTAGCCCTTGCCGTGCAGCTCGCCGTAGCCCACGGCCAGCACGGCATGGTCCAGCTGCGCCGTCTCGTTGCCTGCCGAGGGAGAGCGGGAGGAGAGTGGAGCGGGTCTCGTCCTCGGCCTTGGAGCCAGAGCCCATGCCCAGCTGCGTCAGTGGCAGCAGCGATGGGGCATCCGTGTCCCCATGCACGGGATCCCCCCAGGACATCCCGCAGCCTGGGAAGCGGGTGCCACGAGGGACGTGGATCCTCCGGCCGACCCGGAGGACTCGGGGTCCCTGCCATAGCGGGCGCCCACGTGCATTCCAGCCCAGTGGCTGCACTCACCGCACCGGGGCTCCTCGTACACACCGCTGGCGTAGAAGGCGAAGGACTTGTGCGAGGCGTCGATGTTGACGGCGACGGGGCCGTGCTTGAGCAGCGCGGCCTTGAGCGCGGCCGTGTCGCCCGGCTCCACGTTCACGTAGGAGGCCACCGGGGCCACCAGCTCCGACTGGTTGTAGTGGCAGTAGCCGTTCTGCAGGGAAGGGGGCTGGGATGGACCCAGGCGCCTGGCACAGCCCGTGCCGGGGAGGAGGAGGAGGCAGCGCGCGGCTCCGCTCGGGCATCCCTAAGCTGGGCAGGAGCCGCATCCACCCGCAGCTGGTGACAGCAGCTTTACCAGCCCTCTGCTCGTGGGACCGCAGGGCAGCGCAGCGGCAGGACCGGCTCCGAGCCGCAGCGCCAGCGGAGACTTCGGCCTCACCTGCCCCAGGTAGGGCCCGTAGGACTCGGTGCTGGCGATGCCGCCGTGCTTCTTGATCCACTCGTAGGCGCGCCACTCCTCGCCGCCGTCGCACGCGAAGTTGCCGAAGCC